TGGCCACGCCCACCGGGTATCTAAGTCACGTAGCCATCAGTTATAATCGAATTTAAAGAATAAAATTCGCGCATCACACACCGAACTCGTTTAGGCGCACATCACGATACAACACAATATTAATTTCTTGAGTTGTACGTACTTAAAATGCACCGATGTTGAACAGTAATCCTATTGTCCCACTCACTTGCTCTAGCATTGGTGTTTCTAGGAAAAGATATATTTCGTCGTCATCTTTGCCTTCAGTACTGAGGTGAACTACCACGCACCTCCTTTGCCAGCACTTCACCCTTCTGAAGTACCCATTAACCCTGTCGCACTAGTTTTACGTCTTCGAAACTTCTGTTTGTGCTCATGAAGGATTCTAAAAACTCAGAAAAAAACCCCGACATAAGGTTCCGTACGACAGGGGCTTTAAAATCCATGTACGCTTCTTACTGAATAGCGCGTGAGTGGTCTATGATTGTATCCTCGTGTCTAAGTGACTTCATGAATGTCTGCGAACGGAGAAAGGAACATATTTGAGACTACTCATTCACCTTCAAAGATATCAAACACTGCATGTTTAACTTCTAATTTCTATGTAAAATCCTTCATTCACCTTCTAAAGTATCAAACACTGCATGTTTCAACTTCTAATTTACACGTGGAATACAGATTCCGCACGATCTGCGGAGTTCGCGATTCCGCGGAAACTGCGCGTACAAACGCGGCCTCATTGACGATAATGATGACATGACCACTCTAAGGCACAGCTCACCATGAATTGCAAAATCCAAAGGAGCACTCAGCTGCTCCCGCCACATTCAAAGCGCCCAGCGCAATGACCAATGACGCGACCGTTCGCCCCTCGCTGATGTGAAATGTTCGTTTGGCATTTAAGTTCTTCTCTACAACTCTTGTCAGGGCCTTGTTTAACATTTTCGATTAACTTACGGCAGAGGCGGCCCAAATTCGATTTAGTCAGAAGACGTGTTGCATCACTGATAAGGTGTCAGAGACGGTTTACCGGTAATATCGTTACGAAGTGTAACGCTGCACAAACACCCCCTTGTCTTCTATCTCCTACTTATTATTGCCACTGGAAGGGGTGCCTTAGATCAGCGTTTCCGCTGACGTGCAGAAACCACCAGTGCATTTGCTAGTTGACTTTACATAGTACAGTACCTTCACGTGACATTAGTTGGTCGATACGAACAACCTCGCCGAAGTGAGATCACTCGCGTGCAACTTGGATCTTCCAATACAAACCGGTCCTCATCAGGCAGAAATGAAACACTTTCATTCTGGACGCCTGATCTATGTTTTACACTCACTTATCATGCCTCCGGTACGTTAGTAAACCGCAAAAAAAAAACATTATAGAATCACTATTTCAGATAAAAACCATGTAAGCGGGATAATATCCTCAGGTATGAAGCATTCAGTGCTGCTATGAAGTTTACCCCTAGTCGTACTAGAGCAAAACTTACACATGCTATTTGCGTGATCATCGTGGTCACGGGTGAGTTGCTAGAACTTGTCAAATTCTCGCATTGTTACTTCGAATGTGGTTCGTCATTGTGAGAGTGCGATTATACTTAACGGACAGCGTTTTGATCGTTTTATTAAGGCTGTCAACGTTCCAGGCGTTTTGAGCGACAGGCAAAGCATGGGTATCTATCTATTTTCACCGCTAAAAGATACCTGTGCTTTCTTAGTCACTCACAATGCTCAAAACATTGGTGGACACTCAAAACGCTGACGCAAAGAGTAAGCGCACTCTGCCAGTCTCCATACTCATCCCCAAAATGGATGGTCGAAAAACCCGCGGAATGTGTTATATTAAATGCAATTGTTTCGCTTGCGCTCCAAGTTCCAGTAGAAATGGAAGCGCGGAATCCGCGTGGTTGCACGTGGTACTTTGGGGATCCCGAGTGAGGGAGTGGAGGGTTTGGTGGTGAAAATATTCGTGTTATTGATTTTATCTGTTTTCCACATCTCACGCGCGCTCCCGCCCCCCCCCCCCTTCCTCTTGACGCCGCCTCGGTACTTTTCCGGAGATAACAAGTCTTTCTGGAAGAAGGGTTACTAGTTCGGAGAGTTCATGGCAAGGGGCAAATGGTAGGCAGAGAGGGAGGTGGGAAAGGGAGTCGTATCAGAGGAGCAATTTTGAAGGGGGAGTGAGGGGGGGGTGTCGTATTTTGTAAATTTTTCCCGCAACGGCAGGATATGCCTTGAAGGAAGTGCATGCCTTTCTTTCATGGTGTTGTGCGACGTGGTGGCAAGGTCAGTAGTCTCGGATTTTCACTTCATTTTATTCCTCTCCTTCCTTTTTCGTTTTTTTTTACTTTCCTTCTTCACCTCTTTAATATCCTGCTTATTACACTTTTCTTTTTCCGCTCCTTACTCCTGTCTTTGACAGCTATTTTGTTCCCTATTACGAGTAAAATTGTTGGTGCCTGTAGTGAGTATTTCATCTTATGTTTTAACTGTATTCACTTTTCCAGTTCTCGTATTGATATCTATTTCCATAAATCGAAAGGCTATACATCAGACAACACTTGCCTCGAATGTCAGCTTTTCCAGGAATTCTCGTTCTCATATCGACCAGCTGCACACGCAAGCAAAAACTTTTCAATGAACGTCCTGTTAATCACGTCCTTGTTTGAGGCACGTCTTCCCAACCGGTATATATCACAGCAATCTCTTTCGTGATATCAATACGTGAGTTATCAGTTCCTTTGGAGAGATGGGAGCTATCCACTATGCCAGCCAAGCCTCGCACGCATACATCAAATCAAGCAGGAGTTCAACTCGTTAATCAGTAGAATTTTAGGTGATACGCGTGCCGCGGCCAGAAGGGCACCCTTCACAGCATCAGTCCCTTCCGCATTTGAAGACAGCTCTTATACGGCTATGACAGACTGTTTTTGCGATTAAGCCAAACCCATACTGAAATATCCTTTGTCTGCATTCCTAATTCTTATGGAGAAAAATACTCCAAAGCTCGATTAGAGCCCAAGTAATACCCATAATGATATTTCCCGCGTTATGAGTCTTAACGAAGATACTCGTACTCATTATCACTTATAACATAATGAGCAATGGAGTTACAGTAGATTCTGCACAGTGCAAGTAGCGCTAGCAAAACTCGTTAGTATGACGATAAAGTTAAATTTCACTTTTTATTGACAAGCGAGAATGGGGAATCCTCATGGCATATAGCAGAATTTCAGCGCTCTCTCAACTCTTCTAGCTACTATTTATTCACCCTTGAGTCGAGAGCTCTATCAGTGATTATAAACACAATTCCGCTGTGATACTAGTTTAACGCCGATGTGCGGTTCGCTTCAAACATGGGCCAATCCCGGCTCTTTTCAAAGCCTTCGGTGTGCAGTTTTTCTTCCACATTGCTTGCTTTATTAGATTGTGCAGTCACTAAACTCATGTGCGTGCGGTCGTAAGAAAAATGTAAAGCGAAGATTGGCGGGACAAAAAGACGCTCCACATGAATGTTCTCCAGGAAATTCAGTTCGCGGCAAAACATGCATCTTCGGACACGTATGTGCACGTCTTTGTAGTCACCAGAATCCTTCCGGATCAACTGGCGCCCAGGGATCCCAGGCGCGTGTGGCGTGATAAAGGTGGACGTGGACCGATGGCCAGGCAAGTCTCACTAACACGTTTTCCTGACAGCTGGACGCTGGTGGTTTTTCAGAACAAAGCGACGTTCACAGAAGTCTTCCATGCTGTTTACTCAACACTAAAAATCGCGTCGCTAGGCGCACGTCGCCGTTGAAGGCAAAGTCGCAATTGTTCGCAGTCGTAGATAGTGGCTTAGATAGTGAAGAAAGAGGAAAAAAACATGCCATCTTGCCTAGAAAGAAACCATTTTCCTTCCCAGTTTGTACGCGCCCAATAAAGTCCATCTTCAACAGTACGCCCCCATCCGCCTAACTGATTCCCGATAAGATGGAGCTCAGACCTTTAAAGGGACAGCCCCCGCCGCTCGAGTAGATACACTGTACGCTGCCTACCGTGCGCAGTATACAGTCCCCAAGCTAGAGATGCGCCACCCTATTCACACACACGGGAGCGAGAGGGAGGCGGAGTTCTAGTTGTAACGCGGGCGTGCTCGGTGGGACCGCCTTAGATTGCTAGATGGCTCCTCGCGGGGGGGTCACTCAGATGGCTTTTAGTGTGGGGCGGGGCGATTAATTGGCGACTGCATTGTCCTTTTTGCTGGTCGCGCTCGTGCCCATGGATAATTCTGCTCTATTGTATTACAGTTTGCTCACTGGGGGCAAATACAATCAATTCAACCCATTCCGCAAGGTGAAACGCGTAAAAATCATCAAGTGACCCAATTTCGGGAGGTGCCAGAAAGCTGGGCGGCACTTCAATACACCAAAATGTGCGCTACCGTAATCCCAAGTTCGGACACCGAAGTTTTTAAAATTTCTTTTTCCTTCCCAGAGTTTTTCCTCTGCGTTTTTGTTGTTTTCTTTTTGTATTCTTTCTTTTGCACTGGATGATATCAACTACTGCGAGATGTGATAGAGAGATTTGTGAGCTAGGGGTTGCACAGAGACCGCAGGGAGGTGTGACTGTGAGGCATTTTGTTTATGGCGTTCTTGAGGACTCTTCTTGCTTTTTTTCTTCTCTGGGGGATCACTTAACAACTACTGTTTCATAATTGAAAAGCAACTATCCATGACGCTTTCATCGCGGGAGCTGTCTTCAAAAGTGATGATTTTCATGCTTTTCGTCGTGCAGCTTCGTTTTTTCACTGAAGGCGCGAGCTCTGAAGGTGTAGTCACCGGAAAAAGGGAGGTTTCACCGAACCTGTATTGCGCTATAGCGCTCTTCCCTTATATTTTTTGCCACAACCGCCACAAGGTTATTTGCCGCGAGCCCCACTACCCTCCCGAGGCCATCTTCTCAACTTCCTTTCATGATCGCGGTCCGTCCCTTTAGGGCTGACGCAGACGCTGTGGGTTTCCTTGAGCACAACAGTTATGGTGGGTGGTTTCTCAAGACTGTAGAAAGCAAAACGGTAGAATCGAGGCAGGTCCCATCCTCTTTTTTTGAGAAACATTTCATCAGTATCCTTCCTCGTTTCCATTTTATTTTACGATCTTCGATGTCCCTGGTCACTCTCTGCCACAATTATGCCCCTTCCGCCCCCCTCCCCCATGAGCAGTTATCACAAATCCGTGTGGGCGCTTTTCAACCTTTCATCTCCTTCTACACTTCTAAACCAACATTTGAAGGCCCATTGTTTTCCAGGATAAAACCGCATGCGTCATATTCGTCATAGGTGAAGGCTATCACTCCGGATCAGTCCAGGATGAGTTGCGAAAACGCAACGATATTCTGCAAGTTAACGTTCCCGATTCATATTCTAACCTAGTTTATAAGGTAACTTTTCTTCTGCAACTTTTTTTTTCTCTATAATTCCCTGCCGGTAGTTTTTCCAACATATTCTTTAACTATTTCCAACTTCTTTCATTTCCTCTTTCTCCAGCAACAAAGTCCAGACAGTTCATTTTCTTATTTCTCTTATTTCAAGCCAACAATAATTTTCTTTGTAGTGGGCCCCTGTATCTGCTAATAACCTATTTAAATTTCTCGTTTACTCGTTCCTTAGGAAGGGATGGCGCGGCGCTCCTTTTCCAGTTTTATTTTCTTTCGGCAGGCGGCAAGACGGTATCATATCGTTCGCACCAGTCGTTTTCCACCAGTTGTCGTTCAGTTGCTCCAACAACTGGTGGAGAGTGTGCTGGCACCAAACCGGGCTCACTGACACGCCCCCTCATCCGGAGCGAATAAGACTAGGAAGTCCCTTGCATAGGTCGCGATGCTCACAGCTAAGATGTGTTACATTCATCACGTAAAAGTGCGCGTCAAGGATGTCAGTGAGCAGTTGTGAGCCCTCCACCCAATGGCATAAGATCGCCACCACTTACACAATACCTTGTTTATTAGAAACCAATCTGAATTTTCAAATTCCTTTTCCTCTTGACTGAAACCACTACACTGAACACTTGACCGCACCGTTACTAAATCATGGCAGCTGATTGCTGAAGCCATATTGCTGCTGTTCTGATCATAGTTCTTATAGGCAAACTATATTAGGTGGTCGCGGCTCCCGTGGAATTGCAGCCATACTATCCCGGACAAATTTTGTGCTCAAAGTGGATCTGGACAGTGTAGTTATTCTTGACAAGGTTGTGATATAGTCCTTAAATTGACAGCGTTGTGGTCATACTACGCCACTGAAGCGCTTAGTTGCGCAACTATTACGACCGACAGCGCAACACCGTCAATCATTGAGCCGCCTCGAAGGCTTAAAGGAATTCCATTCGCAAGCGATTGAATTGGCGTTTGCAGCCGCCCTGCAACCGCGCCCTCTCTCGCTAGAACACGGTCTGTCGAAGTCACGCCATTCCCAATCTGAGTGATGAAGTATGAACGTGGCACTGTTTGCAATCTCTCAACCTGTTGATCGCTCCTTCTATCTTCCTTATGGCACTGGCCTGAGGCTTATCTGGGAGTCTTACTGGCACGCAGTTCGGCCGACAGGGAGGCATTCTCAAAAAAATCCGGCTCTACAAGTTCTAAGTGGTTAATCCTGCTGAACACTTGACGCTAAGAGCGAGCTCGTCCCAGCGGGACCAGGCAAAAAACCGTCAAACTCGAAGCTTATGGAAATAGCCGTCCAGCATTGGGTCGGCTTGTCGATGGGAAGTAGCAGAAGTACAAAATGCCCCCCCCCTCCGTCGCCGAACTGCCCCCCTCACTGTGATATTTGCAGGTGATACCTCTTCTTGAAAGCCAAACAAGAAATATCATGCTGTTTTTTTTTTTTGGGCTGATGTGCTTGAAAAGATTCAGCCGAGGTCCGAATTTCAAAGCGCCCTTGTGGATGTTCGGATCTTTCAAATAATAATAAGGATTCACGAACAGAACTAGAAGCTAACTCAACAGCGGCTCAAGAAATAAGCCGCATTCAGTTTGAATCGTGAACGGATTTTTCTCCGTCCGCTGTTCGATTTTCTTTTTTCTCGTTCAAGTTTTGAGTAGATAAAAAAGATTAAAACACAGACCTTAATTCTTTCCTTATTCCTAATTAATCACATTTAGATCAGCTTATTAGCCTCAATTATTTGCCCATACAAACCAAAGACTTTATCAGTCATTTTTTCTACTTAAAACTTCTACATGACATTCCCGAGTCATCGTATTCCGGAAAATATCTGCCTCGCTACTGTAATGGTCCAACATATTTGATAAGTCCTGCAGCCTTACCAGCACTCATGCAAGCCACCAAGAAGGCTGAGGTTATAATTTTGCAAATTCTGTTATAGTGTTTTTGGACTTTATTTACCGTCCTCTCATTCTCTTACTGGGCGCTAATGAAACATTGTCGGTGACCATACTTTGGACCCATTTTCAATATGTTTTATTTGCCTTTGCTTTTCTTCTTGTCTTTTCACAAAGGTGTCACCCTGCAAATTCCTATAAATTCCTGCATCCAACAACCCTGTTAAACACTACAGCAGGAGATTACACAGTGCCATGACCTAAGCGTAACAGGTGTTTGGCAAGTTGTCCTGGCCCATGGACGATTTATCGCCAACCTTCACATTTTGGCGGGCCACAAGAGAGTCGGTAATTTGCCGTTCTCCGCTGCGCGCGGCGTGGGCGCGACAGTTTCTTAACTGGACTCAACCTGTCAATTGGAGTATCGAACTTCATGTATACCCCGTTATTGTAGGCTTATTGACTATTTGCGGTTCTGAACTGCTTGGTCATGTCGCCGTACCTCTGCTTGGAACCCACCGTACATTGGCAGCAACGTCGCGCGCGACGTCCACCAACGCGGCGAATTTCCGATTCTCTTGTCACTACCTCAGGATTTGGTATGCTGACAAGCGGACAGGTTTGACCCATCCCTAGGTTACAAGCGCCTCTTCTTTCTCTATGTCATTCAACTAGGGGGTAGCAATATAGGCCTTCCCTACGACGGGCGTAGTACGGCGCAGAAATCGCAGATCAAGGCTTGTGCACGCCAAGCAAGCCTCTCATGTCTGCGGAGTTGACTAGTTGGCATAAGACTCGTATGGGAGCATGAAATACTGATTTTTACATCAAAAAAGCTCCTTCAGGCCACTGTAATGCGGCCCACGTTCACATATAATTACGATTTCGAACTTGAGGAAGAATGTGTAGTGCATCACTGCAGCGCTTGATCGATGCCGAACACCCCGTTCGGTTTTCTAAAAGCGCAGGACGCGCTGTAATATAATCCCTTTGCTCTGTGTTATCCACATCATAACTTTTGCCCTGTTTTCCTTTCACCTCATTCGGATTGGAATATATTGCAGGTTTTCGAAGTCGAAGATGCCTTCTTCACAGGTGCATTGGCAGCGTTGGCTAATGTACAGATACGAGAGCAAACAGGGATTTGGAATCGAGTGGTAAGGTTCATCTGCAAGGCTTGAATTTCTCACTGAAGATGAACCCTGCAGTACCAAAAGGCGATGAAAACATTTATCACAGCTTATTCAGCCCAGGACTTTCTTCTGTTGCCTAGCAGTAACAGAGCAGTAGCAGATGAGAGCTAAAGATTTCGCATTGCGGCAAGGATTCTGCTACCATTCGTTACCATTCAGGATCGTTATAGATTTCTAAATGCAATGCTCAATGATTACTTTCGGGGGGGGGGGGTCTGGTACCAATTAACCATCTCCGGAAAGAAGGAAGCTTGGTCGATCTTGGCCGTAACCGAACCACTTGGCCCACTGGACCACTGGCGTGATAAGTGTGCCACTTGCCACTACACCACCTCCGCCTCGCAATAGGTTAACATGGTTTCAACAGGTTACTACAGTATGGGGTTCCCCGGCTGGGAGAGTACTGTATAAAGGAAGTTATACAATGTTTTAGGGAGGATTCGCCGATTTGGAGGTAAGAAGTATGGGTTTGGACTACCGGGGACATAAAGGGGAGGGGGTAAATGTAG